CCACGCCTGTGAGCACCGCACAATGTTTGTTTTGTTTGTAATTTCAGATGAACACGACACCGAGGAGAAGGGGTAGGAGGTTGGCAAGTACTCAAGACGTATCAATTCATCTCAAGATAATTTATATTCACCTCAAGATAAAAATTTACTTCAAGATATTCTCAAATGATTGACATGATTATGATTTCTTTGATTCTTTTTTTTCCTTTTCTCTTTTTTTTCTTTTCAACACATTGCAAAATTTTTAGGGGCGAGTTATGCCATTTTTTTCTTTCTCAATATTTTAGTTCAAGTGCCTTTCAACAAAAAACATAAACTAGGAGATTTTCAAGGATTATTTGGTAGATTTTTTTAGGTGGGGAGGGATGTAAGGATACATATACCATGGGTTTAGACAGGTTGCTCTTGCTTACTCACAACTAGCCCTGGCTCCACGTTGGGTTCTCTTCTCTTCACGAACCCCGACTGGAGCTAGGTAAGAGTTATTATCATTCTATCTTATTTCATTTATACATTGTTCTGATTGTTGTTTATGTTCTTGACGAACCCCGACTGGAGCTAGCTAGACACATTGTAACACAGACAAGAGTTCTAGATATGTTTCCAGTGGTTACAGAACCACCGTGAGAGCTTTCGAGAGTTTGGTGAAGGTTCTTACTAGGAACCTTACACTCATCTGCTCAGGCCACGTTTTCCATTTAATCAGATGATGAGCCAGAAGAAAACCTGAGGAAATTTGAAATAAATTTGAAAACAAACTGGAAGCTAGCTTGGAGAAACCTCAAAAGTTCTGCTGCTCACATCAATGTGAGCTCCTATTTCCCCCCCTGTGATGTCTGCATTTGTCATAGCATCTTATGTTTTTTGTTCTCTACTTCCTATGTATAAATTTCACTCTTGTCCAAATGCAGCGCATGAGAGTTGCAACCATGATAAGCAAAGTGTTGACCTATGTATTGCAAATTTATCCATATAGAAGACCCAAATGTTTGCGTGCTTTATTTGTTTTGTCACTCAATCATTCTTGTGTCTTACTTTGGTACCTTCAGACAGGTGCACATGCTTCCTTCATCACTCATCAGTGATTGTTAGCCATAGCGCTCATTGACATCACAAACTCGTGATCAGTTCACGTCTGCATTCCCTATTTTATTAATAATGTTTGGAAAATTTGAAATTTTGGACCTTCAAGATCCAATGTTACAAACAACATCTTGTGTGACTTGTTTTTGCCAACATCTAAGAGAATGGAATGTCTGTAAAATTTCACTTTCTCCCGGGAAAAGTGCAATTTTCCAGACATCACTTTTTCGGGAGATTATTGCTTGCAAAATGATGTTTGGGAAAATCTCATGTGCCATAAAAGATGACAAAAAGATCTAAATCTTTCAATGACCATCTCATCCAGAAGATTCAACTGTTGTTCCAGATTGCCTTCCACCTAAGGGGAGCAAGTTCAACTGACTTGCCCTGTACAAACAGTATTCATGATGAATGCGAGGGTTTTGAAAGACATTCGAGAAGCTTACTCCTGCGAGTGTCTTGGAAAAGTCAGAAGTCGGCCTGCTTGCTTGAGATCACCAAATACACTGCTACATGTGAAAATCATGGGATCTTACTTGCAAAGGATCGTATGGGTCGGAATGAGGGGTATAACAGGATCTTATCAAATCCATTCTAATTTTGACGCGAATTGATCCTCATGTTGAAAGTTCTTTAACACAGAGCAATATGACAATTAAAATTGAACTACGCGTGTTTGCAACAAATTGGCATGGTTTTTTTGCTGATCGTCAGATCGTACAGGGAGAGAAGGAATGTACAATGTTTTTACGGATTTTGATACAAGTTTTTGTGCGAAAGAAAAAAAAGATGCTTCTACATCGAACACGGCAAAAAAACATAGGAAGGACATGAAAGTGTTATCGACGATACAATGAAATCAACAAGTCGCCATCAAATCAAAGATTCAATTGTGTAGAATCTAGTAGAAATAGATGTGGAAGCGGTCAAGATCATTGGCCTGTGGTTTGGGTGTCTACAGGGTCAGTGGTAGTTTTGGCATCAGGCTTTTCGGTGGGAGTCTGAGTTTCTGGCTTCTTGGTGGCAGTCGAGGTGGTTGGCTTCTTGGTGGCGGTAGGATCACTATCAGCTGACTTGGTAGACGAGGCATCGGATTTCTTGGAGTCTGAGTCACTAGAAGCCTTGATGTCAAAAGAGGGCTTCTTGCCTGCGGGAAACTTGCTAGCAGCAAGTTGCATGAAAGCCTCGTGAGTGGCACGAGCACTTTTGCGTTGGTCACTTTGGTCAAGGGTTTGTTGTAAATGATGGAGAAGTTGAGCGATCTCGTCTGCAGTAGGTAAACTTCCACCAGCCATCTTAGCTTCGGCGAATGCTTTGACCATCTTCAAGAATCCATTGGCAAATCTTCGGACATCAGAATCTTTGAATTTAGGAGCTTCAGCTGTTGAACCTGAAGTTGAAGCAGTCATTTCTTGACGAGTACTGAGCCTAAGATAGTGTACAATTCGACAGATGAGTTAAAGATTCAAGTCAAAATAAAACAAGAAGCTAACTTTGGAGCGGAGTCAGACTTTGGAGCGGAGTCAGACTTTGGGGCGGAGTCGGATCCAGAAAGCTTGCTTTCAGCAAGACCATCAATAGCCGCTTTGGTCGCTTGTGCATGGGCCACAGGATCGTCCCCTCCTTCTTTCATCGCTTTCTTCAAGGCGGCAGTAAGCTCACCGCTAGTTGGCATCTTTTTACCAGCTTCTGCGACTTTTGAGTATTTAGCAATCGTGTCAGCCAAATCCGCCGAGAGTCTTTTGATGATGATATTGACCAGAAAAGGTGGAACTTTTTGTTGCTGTTGTGATTGTTGTCCGACTTGTCCGACTCCCATCATGCGTTTCTCGAAGCTGAAGAGTGTGGTATTTCAGTCAGAATGGAGCATTTGAAAGTTGGAATCTAGAAATATTTATGACATACCTTTTGCCTGTAGCTTCGTTCGATGAAGCAAACCAGTCAGATTGTCGTTTATAGATCGCACTGTTACACCAACAAGAAGGAAGAAGGTCAGTGGTTGGATGTTTACAAATGTATGACAGGAGACATTGCGTACTTGGAGTTTGTTGGCACGGCACCAGCTGTTGCTCCCTCTAGCATAGCAAAGGCAGAGATAGCGACGGTGACAAGAGAAAAAATGGAAAGCATTTTTTGATGGAGATGAAGTTCAAAGATGTTAACAAAAAAGAAATTTGAAAAGATGTAGTCCTGCCAGGGAAGTGTGAAGAAGTAAAGTGCTGGAAAAACAAAAGATCTATGCTCGTTGCTTGGAAAGAAGAGATGCGGTGGTGATAGTAAATAAAAATCACCAACATACCTGAGGTTTTATAGCTTTTGAAGTGTGTTAAAATTTGCCGCGAAAGACCCAGTGCTCAGCATGGTGCGCTTCGTCCAACCAGATTGTATCGCCCGAAGTATGTAAAGAGATTACCCTATCACAGAAAGTGGCATGGGTCTACTAACCTTACAGGGGCCTCAAAGTCATCGGCATCACAGGAAGGCTACTCGAGCTGAGATTTAATCACTTCATCTCCCTAGGAAAATCCATATCTGGTAGAGAGTACCACCCAATCGATTTAGTGACGGGGTTCGACGGTGATCTTTTAATGAAAGCTTCTTTAAGAGTATCACTTGAAGGGTTGAAAAACCCTTCTGCCCAGATCCACCTCAGATATGCTGACCAGTGGAGTAAGTGCTCCCTTATTTCCCTTTGATTTGCCCTCGTCATCCGAATGTTCCAATCATGCTTTCATAACCTCACAAACACTCATGGTCAATTTTCCTGACGCGGGATCTTTCAATCATGAGTTTAACAAATACCGCCAAATGCAAATACCGATAAATGCTCACCATTCGAGTAAGTGCTCCCTTTTACCCTTTGATCTGCCCTTATCATCCGAATGCTCCAACCATGCTGTCATAGTCTCGCAAAAAATCAAGAACTAATTTGTTCAGGCAGGATACCTTCCAATCATAAGTTTAACAAGTACCCAGGGTTCTTTGAGACAATCATCCTGGCTATATGACTGTGGTCAAAATGGCGTGTCACGGGCGCGCTCTTTCTTCGGAGGACGTGCCCTTGCTTAAAACCTAAGTTGAAGTCATCAAAAGACATGGGACCGAGTTCTTCTTCAACCATGAATTGAAGCTAGATCCTCGTTCACGTTATATAAAGCTTTGCATCATGACACCTGTGCACACTGACCAAGTGGGCGCCCATTTGCCAGATCCCACATCTCCAACATTTAGAATCCTGCCCAAAAAATTGAACACATACCGTCAAAATCTTACCCTTCATAGGGAAGAGCATTTTCATACGTATTTTTCTTTCTTGAACACCTTGGCATGAAACAGTTCTCCAGATGGAAAACAATAGATTAATCTTCCTTCTGATTCAGATTGTCACATCAATCAATGCAATCATTCGAAATGAGATCAATACAATGCCAATCAAATCGGATCAATAAAGTCTTCAACCTCAACCTCACTCTCATTCCATAAGTCAAAAGTCAAAACTCATTGTGAATGGAGTTTCAGGATGCATAAGTTTTTGGTGGTAATCAAAACATCGAGCACACATGTACAGCAGTGAACTGAATGATCTTCAATCAGCTTGATGTTTCAAGGTGAGTTAGGTGTGGACTCTGAGCTATACAAGGTTCTGCCGAGTTACAGTATACGGAACGAAAATTCCAAAATCACCTGTCTGGAAACAAAAGCCATCCACTATGTAAGTCATTCTGACATCAAGAATGCATATGTATGGTAGTGGCAGTGCTGTGACTTTTGAAGGGCCAAGACTGGCAAGGTTTCAAAATGGACGCGATATGATACAGGATTACTGACACATGAAAGGTGATCGGGCAGCAATGAATCTTACGACTCCCTTCGCCCATCAAAAAAGAGGAGAAAAAACAATTCACACAATGAACTTATTATACATCAGTCGAAGATTTTTCTGATTTCACTTTCCGTTCACGTTCGTCACGTTCTAGTAAACTGGATACATCAGGTGCTACAATAAATTTCTTGTTGGTAGGTCCTAGTACAAACATCGCTCTTAAGCTACTCTCTGGCTTAGGATCTATGACAGCTACTTCTTGATGAAATGTGGGCTGTGCAGCCGGTAAGACCTGAAGATAGTCGAGTAATTCGATAATCAGTAAGCATATCGTATGTGAGCAATTCAAAATGAATATATGACGTACATCATAAGCTACTTCACCAATCAACATCTGAACCCTTCCGCTCCGTCTGATGACCAATTCTCCAATTTGACCTTCGACAGGCTTATCTTCTTCACCGAGAGGCACACCAGGGCAATCATCTCGACGTCCACCTTTTCCCCAACCCGCCCAATCATCTACTTGTGGTTTCTTCTTCTTCAATAGCTTCTTGCGTGCAGGTACAGTGGTGGCTGCATCGGCTGCTGGATCTGTAGGTGGGTTGAGGGCAATATCTGACGCCTTACGAAACTGGGGAAAGTGACGAGGAAATTGAAAGATGTATAATGGTGGACCGCTTTTCGAACTTGAACTCGTGGTGTTGGTATCAGGCTGTAATTTCAAAGAGGAAGTCATCAGTTTAATATAAGATGTGAAAGGCATTAAGCAAAAATCCACTTGCTGTTTGCCTGATCTGTGCTGCAACTGTTGCCATTTCTTCTATCTGTTCAAGTTTCAGTTTCACATCTGATTTCATCGCCTCCAAGGTTTGTTCCTCTACAGTTTCGCTCTTGACCACTGATTCTGTAGCAGTAATAGTACTAGCACGAGTGACAGCAGGTGTAACAGAACCAGAGAACAAAGCTGGTGAATTAGTCGATCTTGAACCATTAGGTTTCAAATCATCTCCTAAACCTTCAATCACAGGTTTCTCGTCTTCTGATTTCAATTTAAGTTCAGCAAGTTTCCTTAATTTCGCATCTCTTTCTGCCATTAATCTTTCTCTTTCTGCAATTCGATTCGGATCCCAAGGTAAAGTGAGAGGAGCCATTGGATGTTCATTAGAGATATCATTTAAATCAGCTACTTTTCCTCTATCTCCTTCACCTTCATCTCCATCCATCTCATCTTCAGGATTTTCATCAATATCAGAATAAAGATCAAACATATCACTCGGTCCACCATCCCATGGTGTAACTGATCCACTTTGTGCTCGACTTGAAGGTCCAGTGGATGTCACCGAATTATCAATCTTTCGCATTCCACTTCTTGTTGGTCCTTGTATACGACCAGTCCTCGGTCCACCTTCTGCAGGACCCATAGCAAATGCACCACTAGCAGTCATCACAATCTCAGCTCTACCTCTTCCACCCCTTTCAGCACCTCTTCCTCTTCCTCTACCACGACCTCTAGAACTTGATTGATCATGACTATCTAAATCGATTGGTTCAACCTTTTCAACTCGTTTTACCATCCGTGGTTTAAACTTTGAAGGAGCCGTTGTAACAGATGCATCAGAAGGGTTTACAGATATTGGTCGATTAGATGTGAAATTCCCAGGTGGATCATTCGAATCGGGTGGAGGTATTGGTGGAACTGATTCCGAAATCGCTCCTCGTCCTCTTCCTCGTCCTCTTCCCCGACCACCACGTCCTCCTCTTGCAAAGGTTGCTCCAGGTAATTCTGACATCTGGATTAAGATTTACTGATTAAAAGGTTTTGGTGGAGTTTGTCGGAGAGTGGTCGCGCTATAAAATTTTTCTTGCAGGATTGTGATCCGATCAACACCGCGGATGTTTGTAACATGAGTCACGGGTCCGGGGTGGCTTGGCGGATCTTGGAGAGGGTTAGGTTTGAGCTGACTTTTGGACAGGATTTTACGTTGGTGAACACGATTTAAGCATATGAGATGATTATGCGTATATGAGGTGATGACTGACCAGAGACCAAAGCATCAGGATTCCAACGAGTGATGAACTTTCTAAATAACCATTACTGACTGAAGAACTATCAAGACTAACTGACTTCACCACCCATCGATTCATTCAAATCAAACATCAAATATCACATACTTAACATCAATCACTAATCACTCATAAAAATGGCAGAAAGAAAACGAAAATGGGATAGTGGTCCAGATGGAAGTCCAAATACGAAGATCAAAACTGAAGAAACTGGAATCCAATCTGAAGCAAATGGAGCAGCAGATGCAGCAGGTAAGTTCTATAAAAACATGTTCCAAACCCTCAACTAAATCTCTGATCACATGAACTGACTAAGAATCCATGTTCTGTTTCTTTTGATCATAGCTGCAATTGCTGCAAGGATCGCAGCTCAATATGCTCCAACACCAGTTAAAGCAAAACAAAATGAAGGTCCTAAATATGAAAAAGATAAACGTACTGAATCTTTCATGACCATCAACAATCATATCTCAAATCCTGACACGAAATCTTTTTCATTGGTTTTGAATATAGCTGAAATTAATGATCCAGAATTCGTTAAAGATATTGATATAAATGATCAACGCAATCGATATCTATTGACCAAAGGACCAACCCAAGCTGAGGTACATCTTCACTTTCATCTGAATCAAATGTTGAGTTTTTTACACAAGAGAGCTTATTGATTTAAAATGTGTTTTAGATTCAACAAGAGACTGGTTGTTCAGTAACGACCAAAGGTCAATGGTCAGCACTCTCCAGCTTCTTTTTTCTACAAACCGATCAGGTCACTCAAGGATAATCAATTAAATAGGTACCCAGATCGAACAATGGCAAACGATCGAGATCCACCACTTTATCTTCATCTAACAGCTACAACTCAAGAAGTATTAGATAAAGGAATTGCAAAAGTGAATGAATTGATAGATCAAGATCTAGGTCCACTTACTGAACAACCGTATGTCTCATGATCATTTGAACGTACCCGTCTTTCTTCACAAATCCTCAGAGATTTTTTCTTTGCTTCTTTTTCTTGTAGGTTTACTCATCAAAGACGTGAAAGACAACCTAGAGAACGTCAGAAATGGCCAGAACATAAAATCGAAATCGGACTTGAAAGTTTACGTAACTTTAATGTTCGAGCTAAAGTAGTAGGACCAGGGGTAAGAAGCCGAACGTTTTTATTCGATTGATTGCTTTGACTAATCATCATCATTGGATTTATCGAATGATTTTGATCGATAGGGTATGTTTGTAAAATATATTCAAAGTGAAACTGGATCTAGAGTACAGATAAAAGGGATGGGATCTGGATTTTATGAAACGGACACGGGTACTGAGTCTACTGAACCTATGCATATCAATATCACGTAAGTCTTTCGTCAACTTTCTTCAACATAACCTCCAACCTGACCGAGATTCATGGTGTTTTCGAAAAAGTGGACCGGATGATACACAGAATTTAAGAGCAAAAGAATTAGCTGATGATTTGTTAGAAGTAGTCAAAGAAAAATGGGCCGAAGCAAAAGCTATGAATGATCAAGTACAAGCTCAGTATAACACACCTGTCTTTAATCAACCTATGTATATGGGCTTCGGTGCTCAACCAGGACAAGCAGGACAAATGGCTGGAATGGTAAATCAACTCTTGCTCGATTCTTCGTTGCGATCATGTCTGATAGTTTTATTCTTGACCACAACAGCAACCTGGTCAACAAACTCCGTATGGACAAGCTCCACGTCCTTCAAATGGAGAAGTTCCACCTCCTCCTAGTGATGCACCTCCTTTACCATCGGCCGATGGATCTGTTCCTACAAATGGTCAAGGTACTCCTGGTACAGCATCCAGCACCGATTATAGTGCATATTATGCTCAATATTATGCTCAACAAACCCAAAATATGACAGCTGAACAACAGGCTTATTATAATTCGTAAGTTTGAGATTTTAAATTGATTGTATAATGAGTTGAACTGATGTTGATCCTATCAAAACCATTAGAGCTGAATATAAGGCATGGTATCAACAATACCTTCAGTATCAACAACAAGCCCAAGCGAGTGGTACAGCAGGAACGATGCCTACATCGTATCAATCACAACAACAACCTCCTTTACCAGATCAACAACCTCCAGCTCCACCTGAAACTTCTGCCCCTGCTCCTCCTCCACCTACTGATGAGGTTGCACCACCACCACCACCTGAACCTGCACCTGCTCCTCCACCACCTGCTTGATGACTTGTGGAATCGTCAATTTTACTTTTTGTTTACTGTACTTGATTATGGAGAAATAAATGAAAAAAATTAACCGTGATTTTGTGGGTTGAGAATCTGATGGGTATAAGATTACATTTTCAAAAAGTGGCGAGATTTATTCAAGAGTTATTAATTTGAGATAAAGACAGATGATTATTTTGAATGTTAGAATGATTCTATATACCAAGCCTGTCGTAATTGCGACCTTATTTCAAGGTTTATTGTATGTTTGGTGATGTATCATCATCATCTCATAATTCAAGGATTAGATATATATATGTTATCTGACCTGATACCTTCATGACACAGATCTCCGAAAATACGTTTCATGAAAAACTTTTTATCAAAAAAGTTCATACCTTGATTACAATAAGGTTTACAAACCTTTTACATGGAACAAAAGAAGATGTTTGATAAATCTATAAAATATCTACATACAAATCCAAAAAAACCAACCGAATTGAAAAAATCTGATTAAAATTCATAAAGTTTTCAAGTATCTTTAATGGCCAATCTTAAAAACTTCTCAAATTGGTTATAAATTTGAAAATAAATAAAAAAGTAAACCAAAACCAATAAAGAAATGATAAGTGAAATTGAAGTTTGAGGTAAGAAACCAAAATAAACCGGTTCGATAAGTACATCTAAACCGATTGATTTCGTCAAAGAATCATGATTAGAGTCAATCAAGATGATTAAACGGTTAAGTTGATGATACGATAAATTGATGTCTATATGATCTGAAGCACTCCAACTTGTACGAACAGTATATGTTTTAATATTATGAAATGAGAGATGATTTGAAATGGATGTAAGGTGTTGAAGAAATGAGTTTGGTGAAAATCGATGGGTTTGAGGGTTAGGTGTGGTGATATGATTTGGGTGAAGACAAAACGATTTGGTGGTTGAGTGGTTTGTTAAATTTGTTGTGAGATGAATCAAACCTGGAACCAAAAGAGGTTCATCGGATCCAGAACTAACGAAGAAGAAAAACGAACAGATATTTGAATTTGTTTGATAACTCTTTAAAGAATGTTTGATTGAAGAAAGAAACTTACCATTCTTGGTTTAAGAAGGGTGAAATTGAGTTTTCGATTTTTATAATTTCAGTGTTTGATTGAACAAAAGAAACGATGATGGTAAGAAGAAAGATAAGAATCTTGATCGATGTTTTTGAAGAAATCATCTCTTTACATTTCTGTCTTTGATAATGTGAAGTGCGCGATCAAGATTCTCACTTCACGATAGAGGTCCTTAAGCCTAGAAGTCGGTACTTGTACGTGAATTGAGGCCTCGCGAGGAAGTGAGTAAGCTCAAGCAAGCCCCTCTTCCGAGGCGGCCACGTTCAGAATCAGATCGATTTTTTGAAGAACTCAAGTGAACAGACACCTTGACCAAATCAAGTTGTGCATAGGAAGACTAAACAAACACATTTGACATTGCCAATTTCCATTGCTTCAGAACAAACAGAGTAGTAAAGCTTTGGATGATAAACTACTAAAGTTGGCACAAGATTGTCATAGAATCACTGGGTTTACACATCAGCAGGCGTACAAAAAGCAAATTGGTATGGTGAAAGTCATGAAGAAAGCAAGCTCAGTTCAAACTTTGGTCAGGGGAATGCATAAAAGAGGATTCTGAAAGAAAGCAATCCTTGCATGTTATAATCAGGTCTGCGTGTACGTTCACCTATAGCCCTCCTGAACTTGTCACATACATCGATTGCATTGACATTAGCCAGATCAACAACAACCGGGGCTGTCATCACATGGGTGGCAGGTTGGGGGGTCATCAGGTCCAGGAGAAGGTCCAGGAGCAGAGTCACGAGTTTTGAGGTGTCTTGAGTTAGCGAGATTGGTTTTGTGTAGACAGGTTTCATATCAATCAGTCAAATGATGTAGGAGAGTAGAGTAATGAGAGTTGATGCTCATAACATTCACTTACAATCTCTGTTTGATGATGGGAGTGAATTCTACAAATCGACGTTGTAGGACTTCACGAGTGACACTGAAATCAAGCAAGTCATGCATTAGGTCAAGTTTCTGAGAGCAGTTCAGAGAAATATGTTAAAGCTTTGCTTACGGTTGGTCATCTTGGACCGGGCTGGTGGAGATTGTGGCTGTAAGAATAGATAGAGGATTGAGTACGATGGAGTACAAATGGAGGTATGGTCCATGAATTCACTGACCTGCTAGAACAGCAGCAATGATGACTTTGAAGAAAAGCATAACAACTTCTTGTAATTGTTGAAGAATGAGACAGGCTTGATGTGATATTTCAAGATGCAAGGTCTGGAGGAGACTGACAAGTTTTGGTGTGTGAGGGAATGAACGACATGTCGAAGGGCCCTCTTTATCTGCGCTCGAAGCGTGCGAGATGCAGCGTGGGACTTTGTTGCGTTCACCTCTTTATACTTCCCGATACATTCCCGATCCTTGATCCTCCTTGATCACTTTCTATTTTTGGTTTTTGAATGAGGGAAGTGTCAAAGAAAGTTGAAATTTAAATACATAGGAAAGCACTATTTGGCGCCCGGTTTAAAAAACCCGAAGCCCGGTTTCCGGATAGTAGACCGGGCTGTACGTTTTCGCCGCCCGGTTTGATTTGAAACCGGGCTGCAACATTAGTTTCAAAAATTAATAGAGTACCCCGAGCCCGTGAAGGTACCTCTGGAGTCCAATATCGGGAGGAGTGTTGGAAGTCAGGTGCCTGAGGGACAGAGATAAACCCATGACCCAACAGACATGAAACGTGCTAACTACGCACATGGGTTTAGAGCGACCCGGGGTGAGAGAACAGAATTTTCCTCCCCCGGAATTTTCATGCTCTCCCACACCCTGCCTGTCACTCCCTCACCTGACTTCCCCTCTAGGAGATATCTCCCCAGTTTCTCTCCCCGCTAGTTCTCTAGTAATCTCATAGTAATTCTTTTTCTTAAAACTCAAAATTTTGAATGCATATAGAAGAAAAGGACAGCGGTCACTTCCTAAAGATTTACAAGAAACACCAGAAAACACTGGAGAAGAAACTAGAGAAGCAGAGAAGAGAACACGAAAAAGAGGAGGAACAACAAACCAAGAAAAGGAAACAACAAGAAGAACGCGCACGAAGAGCAGCTTCTCGAATCAAACCCGCTCAAAAAGAACCTGCCGAATCCATGTCAAAAAACCAGTTCTTGATCGAGGGAGGCAATGGCGCAGGTGAACCAGATGGAAGGATGCTTGAGACCAGGAAATGCGAGGGTGAGGAAGAAGGGGTCGAGAGCACAGCAGACCACTTCAAAACACAGGACAACCCGCCAACCGAAGAACAAATTGGAAAGGACAACATCCCCTCACCCTTCCTAAAACAGAACTACGAATCCAAATCTGACTCGGAGTCCACACTCGAGTACCTGGACAGGAATGCTACGCTAGAGCAAATCGACGGGTTAATAGAGAAAAACACCCGTAAGTGCATAGGACTACCCACCAGGAATTTCCGGTTTCCCCACTACGCTTTAAAGCTGTACACGTGATCAGAGCCAATGGCCTAAGACTCCAGGTGCATATACACTGTCGAGCACGCCCGGACGAAGGCTAGACCCTTCTCGCAACCATGATGATCAGGCCAAAACAAAATCCTCCGGACGCGCAACCGACCGTTAGAGTGATAGGCAGAAGTGGCAGAAACTTCTCATCCCAAACCCCAGGAAAACCGGTATGACAGAGAGTCCTGACGTCCTGGGGAAACCCTCATTTGATTCTACCCCGCACCTTTAACCCAGATGTTGATGGCCCAGGGAAAAGCCTCAAACGCAAGGTCCTCGCCGAAAAAGAGGCTATGATGGACAAGATGGTGGCAGCAGTCAACAAAGGGAAATTCAGTAAGGTGGTGAAACTGAGGAAAGAGTATGATGAAAAGTTCGGTGAAGGAGACAGCTTAGGAAAGAAAGGACGGAAGGACAAAGAGGAAAGGAAAGGATCAAAGTCGAAAAACGAAGGAAGGAAAGGAAAGAGCGAGAAGAAGGGGAAAGAGAAGGAGAAGGAGAGAAGAAAAAAGCGAGGGAGGAGGAAATCAAGCTCACCAGCTAGCTCGGACTCCTCAGACGAGTCATCAGACTCTTCTGAATCCTCCGACTCCTCCGACTCCGACTCATCCTCCTCCTCCTCATCTAGAGGAGGCAAATCCAACAGGAGAGATTCCACATCATCGTCATCATCCTCCTCCTCATCAAGTGATAGCTCTGACAACGACCAAGAGGAGGTGAAAGTGAGACGATCCAAACTGTCCTCCTTCACGCTCCGAGACCTACCCCGAGCATGGGCGAAGGGATTCAAACGCCTCCGATACTACGTACCACTGTCCGTATTCAATAAAGCGTACATCAACCGCTACCACTCCCTAAGCAGAGAGCAACGACCGGGTTCGAAACACGTAGTCATACCGGGCGTATCGGAATGGGACCTAGAGAGACAGTTGACTTACGGAGCTTTCATCCAGGCATGCGACCTTGAGGCACGTTACGCGTCCGAGATATTCAACATGAAGGATTACGCCAGATACATAGAAGACCATAAAGACGTCATCAGCAGATTAATGACGAAACATAACTCCTGGATGGTAGCTCTTAGATACCACCTCGCCATTAGAACAGTGACTTTCAGAGATAGATGCACTTCAAAGAAAGACAAGAAGAAAAAGAAGAAGAAGCACGAAAGGATCATCTTACCTAGAGGCATCCAAACGGAAGTTGAAGAGGAAGCGAGGTGGGAGGCACAGCTGGCCGGAGACCTTCGCTTCGAGGGCAACCCCTACGCCCCAGGAGGTCCGAAGTTCGGATACGATTTTCTCACGGGAGAACTGATGGACACCCAAGCGAGCGGGTCACACGGCGACGACTCGCAAAACTGGAAGCCATCGAGGAGACAGAGAGGAGGAAGGAACAGGGGGTCAGGAGGATACTACCAGCCCTCAGGAGGATACGGTAAAGCAGGACATCAAGGTGGAGGAAAAGGCAACTTCACAAAGCCGTACCAAGGCACAAGCAATGCGCAGGCCGGTACATCCCATGGGA